AGCAGGAGAACATGTTTGTAGCTAGTTACGTTTAGTTCGTAGCTGTCTAAACTACAGTCATAATCTGCTGCTCCGCTGCCCTATTCGGACTAGAACTCCACATTGTGCTGAAGTGCGACTAATTTAGGATGGTCTTCTCCTAATGGCAGAAGATGTCGAAGACAAAGAGATGGGGATGCTTACAAAATCAGCGGACCCTGCGAGTGCGCGGTATTAATGCTGGGAGAACGTGATGAAGAAGTAGAGAAGACCTCTCACTACCATTGGCCATAACAGTACGACTTGGCGTGCAGGTCAGGGTGGGGAGGGGGCTTGACAGCTTTTTATGGAGGAGACGCTAGCGTTGTTGTTGTCGTACGTCTTTGACGCTGGAATTGTTATGAAGGGAGGAGCAACGTAGTTGTTGTTCCCCACACAACAATTCCAATAACGACAAAGGCAATAGCGACGAGGCTGATGTGGAATTGAGTAGTATTTCGAGAGCATTCTTAATCTCGTGCGCTGTGTTTGATTGGGCTCGTTGTAGCACATCCACTACTTAGTCTCGGAATCGAGGAATTTTCTCTACTTCCTCGTAAATCCCAATACGCAAAACGTAGTTGCGGGCCGTGGCTATCATCCGCTTCATTCCCGAATGTCATGGAACGTTTTCAATACAGATGGATTAAGCAGCGATTTAACGACGAAATTTCTCGTCTTCCAAATAGAGGCTTCGTTGTTTGGAAGACAAAGCAATTTGCAGGTAGCTGTATCCTGCAGGAACAGCTTATCGCTTCTATCACTAGATGGTGGGAGCGACATGGTCCATAACTTAGCATTCAATCGTCCATAGCGTGGAGCGAGCGACAACTTTGACGGTGTCTGGTAAGAAGTACATTCTCGTTGAATATTGCGTTGATGTCATTGTATCTGCTGGCGGTGATGGCTTCTTTTTTCGGTGTCGACTGAAAAGCGGTGAGAAGGGAAAGAGCAATGGCTGTATTGAAACTAGTAGTGTTCTGAAAATTTGTACGTAGGCTGCCTTTTATATTTCGGGATCAGAGAACAAAAATAAATGTTAATCATTGAGAATTGCTTTAATGTTTTTCAACATATTCCATATTAAGATCTATACTTTTTTTGCATGCGTTTGAACCAACTGTCGAAGCGGTTTTGCCACTCTGATTAAGGTATCTCCAAAACATGCACTCTGAACGCATCAATCGCTTCTTCAGGTGTCGAAAAACGTTGACCTCTCATTTTTTACGTAGTGGAATAAAAAGAAGTAATTCGATGCAACTGCCAGAGCTATATGGCGGATTACTCATTATATCCATGTTTGAGTGCTCAAAAATGTAGTTGTTTGAGCCGACGCATAACAGCTCGCATTGTCGTGGTGAAAGGGTTTTTGAATTATTTTTTGACAGTCGAATGTTCATGTATTATTGAATGTACGCTGGTCCCTCTAATGCCTAAGGTTGTCCCAATCTCACGATAGGTCACATGATGTTCTTGCAATATTAGTTTGCGCACAGCATCGGAACAACAACTGATTTTGGACGACCTCACGAAAGTCGTTTTGGAGTGAAGTACGACCTCGGGCGAATTCACCATACCATCGATGAACCTAGTCCTTTGTCGCCAAAAATTGAACTTCGATCATCCACGTGCTGAGTTAATCCACGTCAAAAATTGCAAAAAATAACTGCCCGAAAATGTAGTTTTATGGTTCCCTTTTTACTCGACCATAATTCTTAACAGCGAATAAGAGAAAAAGGCTGGCATGGTAAATGTTTTACTCTTTTCCATCCAGCATTCACCTGGTGACCCACTTTCTGATTCCATACATAGTCTGAAGCGTCGGGGAAACTATGGGTGGGCACTGTTCCATCGTGCGGTGCACATAGCTGGCGCCTATCTAAAGTGAACGCTGGTTTATTGTGGATGAGCTGAAGGAATATAGGGACTTCAGAAAAACTTCAATCGGAAATTGCTTGACTTTGGCATCTTAGTTATAGCATCGGTCTTGTTTTGACGGGGATGGGGCGTGGATTCAGCGGGAGCAGTGGCATTACCAAAAGCTGGGTCGTCATGAAGTTGTACCCCTTAATGCAAACACGAAAGCCATAAGCGAATTACTCGAAAAGAGCGCTCCTGATCGGCGTTGTGCTCGTGAGTAGTGCGGACGTCGACGATGAAGTTTACGAGGTTATCAGCATCGCCAATGAGCCCATGGGTTAGAGAATCGTCGATCTGTTGGAATGTGTCGAGTGTGCACAAGATTCCGGACGGCAGCTGATTACAGCGATAGAGTTCTCGATGCGTGTTGATGATGAAGAGCTCTTCTCGACTTTTCTTCGACTTCGACTTGTAAATAAGCGTTGACGAAATCTGTCTGAGAGAACACGATACCGCCATTGGACCCTATGAATGCGTCTTTCGCGATGATCAGTAGGTTCCTGGGAACAGCAGGACGTCACCAAATCCTGTCAAAAGGTCGACGCGGAATCGAATAGGTCTCTTGACCATCTTCCAATGAGGATTAGCGCAGTCCATCGCGGGTGATCGGCGGGAGAGATTGATTTTGAACAGAAGAAGGTTGACCTTTCAAGCGGAAAAGAGGCATGAAAGGTAGGGCTTCCTTTGCTAAAATTTGTGTGTGCTTGAGGGGAGGGAGAGCGTCGCCTCTGCTCTGGTGCAATGTTTTATTTGGGGCTTGATATTATCCATGAAGTGCTGCTCCGGCTTGGCTATGGTCTAAGTTCTAAAACAATCTTGACTAAATGTCAGGACCTTGTGGAGGTTTAATTGCTCCAGAATGGAGTTGAAGCCCGAGTTGTTTGATCTTTGTCGTAACAAAAAGCTCTCCTTGTTTTATGGGCAGATTCTGCGCCCTTAATAAGCCCTCCCTTAGTTCACGTACGCGAAAGGCCTTCAAGCTTTCACAGATTGGTAGCGATTACCGTTGTCTTTTTCGAAGACGTCGATGACCTTCCACAGTCGTAGTTGTCTAAAAAACATTCAGGTTGCACAAGAGGTGACGGTAGCGCAATCAATGGTGACCAACTTGAGCGGATAGGATGCCCTCTGATGAGCACTTCCAGTACTCTGATCCCCAATGACGTTGTTGTACGAATGTGCATGGAGACTTTGTGTTATTGTCGTGGTGTAGTCCTCGACTCCTGAACAGCACTGGTGGCATGTCGTCTTTTCTGGCAGTATTTCTTCCACTGTAGCTGCGGTCAGGTTGGACACGGTGGCTGTGATAGCAAAGATTTGGCTGTGGTCTACAAACGGTGTTTCATCCTCTTCTTAGCGGCGCAAATTCCGCATGCTTTAACGCGAATATCCGAAAGCAAAAAGGCGTTTGGAGGCGCTCTTATTGGTTCCGAACGTCCACAGAGCGTCAAGGGTCTGGATTTAGTAAGCTTTCCGGACTCCTTGTGAAAGAAATGAAGAGCGATCCGAGTGATTTGAGACGTTAAGAGCAAACAACCAACTTTGCAGACGAACTTGAGGATGTCCCTATATCGATTGAAAATACGCTGACGCACTCGTCGTGTTTTTAAACATAAGGAATTATCTTGACTGCTGCGGCTCAGCTGTAGGCCTGGGACCTTTCTGGATCAGGTTGATGAAGAATTTCGCCGAGCAGCCATGTGTTGCAGGGGGCTCTTTAATGAATCGCGAATCTTTTCCTGACATATGACATCAGTGGTTTGACGAAGACCAAGCAAGTGTTGTGATATGTCAGGAAAAGATTCGCGATTCATAGAAGAGCCCCCTGCAGTACATGGCTGCTCAGCATGGCTTCTTCGCTTCTTCATCAACCTGATCCAGAAGGTTCTTAGGTTATCTGAGTGGAACATCGGGACGTCATCCAAACATTTATTTCGCGCAAGCCCTGTGGGCGGCGTCAATCTCGCCACCTATCATAGGTGTTCCCGCCCTGCCGCCTGTACTCCTACCGAATTCAAATCCTCCAGATTTACGGGAACAAGAGTTGCCAAATCTCGGTTGAACTTTTGTTTCGCCATGCCAGCACCTTGTGGCCAGAGTCCGGTCTTGCCCCTATCTTCATTATTTGCCATCCTGGCTACAGTACTCCTGCCAAGTTTTAACGGTCTGGTTCGAGACAACAGGAGTTATAGATTTCTGGTCGGTCACACACACACACCACGCACACACAAACACACACAAACTCACACAAACACGCACACACAAACCAACATACATACTTGGTGCGTTATATATAGTAGAATACTATAACAAACGTCATATATTCAGACCTATCATAGCCTTTACTTCTTTTCGCTGGGATTCTTGAACACATAGCCTTCAATTCTTGTCGCTGGCATTCTTGAACACTCTTCAAGCCCGACACATGATCATATCTTCATATCTTTTTTCACAGAGCATTAGAGCAGATTATAGAATCAGGATTGGGTTTGAGGCATCACGAGGGAGCACATTACACATACAATTAACTAGTTTCTTCCCAATCAGGTGAATGACTTTTTCGTTTACATTGGTCTCCAGTCTCTGCGCTCTTCCTCGACCTAAGTAATTAACCGAATTCATCATCTGACTTGGGGCCATCTACATTTTGTCATCGCGGCTGAGCACAGTGTCCTTCGCCTTCTATGTATATATGGTTGATAAGCAGTTGTACTATGCGTGCTTGGAGATAGTACGATTGTGTAGAAGCAAGCAAAAGTTTGTGTCATCTGACGATAGTTTGTAAATCATTCTGATGGCCATTAATTCGGTGACGATTCTTAAAATAATTCCACCCCTTTGTTGCATGAAAACTCTAAGCAGCGAATGAGCGAAACACTTCAAAATCGGCCCTGCTGGGCCGTTTAGGTTGCGAAATTTCCTGCCCCGTAAAAGCAGTCGCCCGTGTGAAACCGGAGTAACATCCTAGCGGTCATTACTCTACTTTAAACTCTCTCATGAATGAACGCTTCTACAGAACCTCATTATACGTTTTATTCGTCTTCATTTTGCAGCAACCATCATTAGACATGTCCGGCGACTACGTTCTGTTCAATGTTACAGTCGTTAATTCCACGTATCATGCGGAAGTAACCTGCAAGTCAATTATTAATATCCAAATGCAAATAAAAGTCCTTTACACATTTAAAAAGTTACAGTACTCACTGAATGCAGCCAAGGGAATGACACCATACTCACCGTTCTCTCCCCAATCGTAGTACATCCAATTAGCAATGAGCCAGTAGTTTGTACTATTTTCGCTACCCCATTCAATTATCTTTATAGCATGAGCACCCATTTCTGCGCCTGTTGTGTGCTGAAAGCAAGTATTATTAGAGTTCTATTTTATTTACCAAGAAAAATTATGCAGTGTACATGTAAACCTCTCGCGATTGCCGTAGTGGCAGTCTATGAGAGAAATTAGAAATTCATATCCAGAATAATTTGCCTATCTTCGGAAGTTTTCGAGAAAACTTTTCTGCAAAAATCTCACCTTGTAAATTCCTTTTTGATAGTATGCAAGGTCTTCATAAACCATGATACCGGTAACAACCGGTCCATGCGTCATGATTTCTCTTTGAATAGCTTTGACCGAATTCGGCACGTTGTAGGCGTCCTTTCCTGAAAACTCAGTCATGTTGTGCCCTAACTGCTCACGATGTTTCGAAAAATTTCCAATCCCTTGCATTCGATTTGAAATTTTCAATCAGCCCAAAGCGTTGAACTTCTTTTTTGTTTTGGGGCAATTGAGGTGACTCAGAGAAGCAGTTGAAGAAGTCCATATCATATGATATGATCCAAAAAGTCTTTATTTAATTTGCCAATAACTTTTACAAAGTATGTAGGTGCAGATAAGATTGAACAGGGATCGTGCCATTATAGTGGGGGCGTTCATATGAAATCAAAAAGTGCTCTAAACCTATATTCCATTCACCCTACTCTACTAGATAGTACATAACCCTACTAGACTGCGTGGCCAGTGTATACTCACTTTTTATTAAGCCTCACTTTCTACTTCATGAATCATACATACCACGCATCCTGTCCTTTCTGAAACACTTTTTGTAGCTCTTCTGACACTTCCTTACACATTTTGGTGTATCTCCATCATCTAGACATTCCCCGTAGTATGTTTGATTTTCATGATGTCCACATGGATGGAAGGGGTAAGGACGGCAACAATCCTAACAACAAATCCACCATTAGAATTTCATATGAGGAAAATTTTATGATCTTAGCTTAGCCCCACAGTCTCCTCCGGTGACGGCACCCTGTTCTGCGAAGTACTCGAAAGCATTAATCATATATCCACCACCACATCTGAAACATAAATAATAACTTGGCAGGGTGATGCTCCCGTGATTTTTCGAAAAGTGGTAATGGCGAAACTTTTTTTCGAGTTGAGTCGCGACTACTCAGCGCAGACTTAAATTCCTTTATCCACGAATTGATACGCCGACAAATGCAGTACCCCGTACACTTGCCCACATTGGATCCCATATTTATATATGTCCTTTTGGATAAGTTTATGTGTCAAGCAACTGCACTGAGAAAAAGTTACCACAATGTTTCCTCCCAACGATGCTAAACGCAATGGCAGTGACACTTCAGTGGTGTAGAAGAGAAATCATTTGGAAGGTTCAGTCCGTTATAAAATCGTACCCGTAACCGCATGAATGACAGCATGACAGGATGTCAGTCGCCGAGACATACATCGGAAATCTTTCACATTTCATTGGGGCCGAAATTCGATGTATGTAAGTGTCAGCTGCACCTGCTTCACTCCTTTGCTAGCAATACAAATTCAATCTGAAAGGGCAGAAGCCGTCGACACTGCCCAGCATGAATCTAGAAATGTGAAATTTTAATTCGTGATATTGACAGTCATCTCCTGTTTTAAATCGCCAATCAAGTGTGGCTCACCGCAGTTAGCTTGGTCACGGATGTGTGTAAGCGAAGAGCGGTTGGGCCAGTGAGTTCGAGCGTTGAAACTGCAAATGACTATTGTTGTGTTGACTATTTACTACTGTTACCTCAGGCAAGGCAGAGCAGTTACTTCCTCAGCTTCCTGTACAATCAGTAGTCTTTCAACATTCTGAGTTTAAAGCACCTATTTTGAGCTGTAACGATTTTAATTCAGACTGACAATTCAATTAGATTTTGATTTTGTTTTCATCTAGACTTTTATTAGCAAATAGGTTCGTTTCAGAGATGAGAAGCCTCTCCAGTGATGTTATGTAAAAGCTTCAGGGTTATAACCTCTAAGACTTATGAACTACTTTTCTGGAATGTCGTCACCATCGTCATTGACGTCCTCTACAGTTGGCTTCCTATTGTGATTGATGAATCTCCGATCCATTAGGTTGCGCTTGAAATTGTAGCTTTGTGGTGTGATTGCAGCCTGTAAACAGACATCAAGGGGGTCGTTGTTGTTGACATCGATAATCAAAACTTTACCTCGAAGAAATTCTGGTTCGTCTCCAGATAACTGATCAATTCTTCACCGCTCAACAACTGCGCTTCCAAGATAATTTTCTCATTCTTCAGCGAAGCTGTAAGAGCGGAGTGGTGATCAATCACCCACTTTTATAAAATAATTTATAGTGATGGTATAGGAATGAAGACCAACCGAGCACATCCGCTTCGTATGCCAAGGCTATTCGGGATAGGTGAATGCAGAGAGCAAGTAGAACGTACCTCTGGAACATGCCTGCGTTTATACCTTTCAGTAAAAAGAGTAAATTTCAAGCATGGTCACAAGGAAATGACTCACCATTGCTCAGAATTTTGAGGTTACAAGAACTTTTTTCTTTATTTCATAGATTCATAGGTGTCATATAAGGGTTAGCCTTGATCCTGATAAGGAAAATATGAGAAGAATCCACAGTACTGCATCGTTGGTGACTACGTTCAAAAGGCAAAATTCCTCTAACTAAAAAGTTGTTTAATAGTTTCTCTGGTTTTTGTTGGTTCCTGAAGTCACGTGATGACTCAAATCCTCTCACTGTTATCTGTTCGTCTTCTTTGTGGCCATATTGACGCATTGAGAATAATCACCGTGACGTGACTTTTTGAACTAGCTAGCGCCGGGCTTTACTACTTTTTATGTTGAGTTGAAATGTCTTACTGAGGCGTATCTCCTTCCCTTTTTGATGAAGAAATAACTACCTAGTAGCTGCCCTGCATTGATTAGCACAAATTGACACTGGTCAAAATCGGTTGCCCTTATAGATCGCAAGGTTCTCAAAAATCTGGCTGAACGGGGACGTTCTTATCTTCAAGTTCTGGGACTGAAATAGTCTTAAAACTTAAGAATAAGAGCGGAGCGGACTATCCGGTGATGGAAGCTGCACTAAACCAAAAAACTCAAACGGAAGATACTTCAAATTGGTATTTCATCTGAAAGAACCGAAGGACAGCAGAACTGGAGCGTTTTGAGAGACATCCTACGTTGTGCTGGGGAAATGCTGGGAGTGATTTGAGGTGGTTTCTGAAATAAACAAGGAAACGTGGCCCGGAATGATAATGTCCAGCGAGTTTTAAGTGAGAAGAGAGCCGTTTACAAGCCATGGAAAAAGCTCTACAGAACATGCAAGAGGCTCGTTAAAGCTGCTGCACTATCAGAAAGAACACAAAAATGGACACCAATTTTCAAGAGCTTAATGGTCTCGAAAGGGCGGGCTTCGTTTCTTGCCAAGCAAAGCGCGACAACGAGCTTTTCAAGACATCGGAGTTGTTAATGCTGTTAAGGAAAGCAAAATCATTCTGAGGAAGTCGGTGAGATGAGGCGCAAGTGGAAGAAATTCATCGCCAAGCTCCCTAACGAATTTCTCCACGACAACAGCTCAAAAAAGGGGTGATGGCTAGCCTCATCGCACTCTGGAGAGTAATCTGTGGAGGAGTAGGAAAAATGATGATGGAAAGGCATCTGATTTGGATGGGGTGCCGATCGTACATATAGACACTGGAAAACCAAGGGATGGAGTGGCAACGCAATTCCCAGACACTGTGATCACCAAAGAGTAACAATTTATGGAGAAATGTCGAGAAGCGCACAGAACCTGCTACCTAGCCTTTCTCGTTCTGAAGAGGGCTCCCGATCACCTGCTCTGGAGAGCGCTCTGTAAATGAAACGTCCTTAGACACTTCATTTCCCTGGTCAAGGAATGTATGACAGGTCTAAGACGGTGTTAAGCACCCCTGACCTCTTGACAAAAGTAAGAACGTCCCGCTCGGGATTCAACAGGGCCACCTGCGAGCTCGTATCATTTTACCATCCTCTACGCAGATGTCGTCGCTCTGATAGCAAATAGTCGAGAAGAACTCCAGGACAATTGCAGAAGTAGCAGAAAGTTCTGGCAGAGATTCGACCATCTGATGAGTTAAGGAATTTGAGTATCTGAGCAGTGACCTTTTGCTGACGGTAGCTTGGATCACGCTAGAGGCTCGAATTAACGCGGCATTGATAGATTGGACAAATTCTTTCGGTGTCTTATCGGAAGGTGGTGCTTCGGAACAGTTAAAGGAAAGGAGTAACGGACAATAGTAAGGCCGACGATGCTCTACGGCAGCGAGTGCTAGCCCGTGAACAAAACCATGAAAGACAACTTTACTTGGCTTCAATGAGAATAATAAGATGGGCCTGCGGCTTGAGGCGACTGCGCCGTATCAGAAACGTAGACATCAACAGCCATGCAAACAGCCGCTGTCCAGCTGAGGGTTAAAGAGCAGCGTCTGAATTCACAAACGCGTTCTGAGAAGACCTCAGAATCATCCTCCAAAGAGGTTACTGGAGGTCGAGACTAAAGGTGAGCAACTACAACAAGCCTCAAAGAAGAGGTGGCGGGACGTGATCAAGAGGGACTTTGCGGTGCAAATACGATCTGGAGAGGCAGCTGTCGTCGAAATTGCATAGCATGAAGCTGGGAATTCGAAATTGTGGTTGATCATATACACAGCCATTCTCTCTAGGTCCACAATCAGTAGTAGCTTACCACAGTTGCTTTGATCACGGATGACTAACCAGGGAAGGATTTCAACTTCCCATGGAACTTTGAATGGAGACCTAGGTATATCGATAGGGCTTTGAAAGTTATTTAAAAATATGGAATTTAAAACTGCAAAATGAGTCTACCAACAAAGTTGTGAGCGTTCAAACTTTGCAAGCTTAGGCATGGAGACATAGTGCCAGTTGATAAGCCCAGCTGCCCGCAATGGCTGCAACGGTCCCCGTGGCGTAGTGGCAGTGCTCTC